TGGAGGCACTGGGGCAGTGTAAGCACAGCAGCTAGCTGTGAGCACCTGCTGGAGCCCCCAGCCCAGAGCACCCAGCTGGCCATGAGCATGTGTGCAGAGCCCCTCAGCCAGCTGTGAGCACCTGCTGGAGATCCCAGCACAGAGTGCCCAGTTGGCCATGAGTGCATACACAGAGCAGCCTGGCCAGCCATGAGCAGTTGCAGTGGTGCAGAGCAGCCCCGCCAGCTGCGAGCTGCACTCGGCCATGTGCTCCAAGCGGCCAGCACTTAATTCTTTTATAAAAATGTTCTGGTGGGCTACAAAAAATTTCTATCAGGCCACATGCAGCCCTCCAAACACCAGTTTGACATGCCTGCTCTACATTAAACTTCTCAAAAATGTTCCAGTAACTTAAAAAAAAAGTCACACAGATAAGACCAGTGCCTCCTTTTTAAAATTTGGACTAGGTAGTAATCTAAATGCACCCCATCACGTTATATGAGGGAGGTAAAACACCTACATTATAAAACCAGCTGACTCTGCTGTAGAGGTATTAAACTGTGTCTACCCTAGTATTGAGGGGTGTGTCAAACTTGTTATTTTAAAAGTAATTACCTGACATTTTCCTTAGCTTAGACCCACAAACTTGGGTCAAAAACTGTTCAGCTTACTACCTTTTCCAGTCACACTCCCTCAATCTTTGTAATGATGAATATCCTTCCTCAGGTGAGTATAACTCTACAATACAGCTACCTTTCCCCACTTCTAATATCATTAACTCTCAGACATTTCCTTCCCCCCCCCCCCCCATCTGTTCTGAAATGTGATTTGTCCTTTTCATATGTGTTCACTTTTTTTTTTTTTTAATTGTATCCTTTGGTATATATGGTTGTGACTCTTTTCTTCCACTATTTGATCTGAGGAAGTGGGTCTGGCCCACGAAAGCTCATCATCTAATAAACCATCTTGTTAGTCTTTAAAGTGCTACATAGTCCTGCATTTTGCTTCAGCTACACCAGACAAACATGGCTACATTTCTATTAGAAAATTGGTGTTTAAACAGGAGCTGAGTGAACATAGAAATTTCTATGTATCATTCAGAAAAACTGACCACCACAAAGCCTGAATTAATTCTTAGCACCCGCTCCCTTCCTCTTCAAACAGGGTAGACAGTTCTATCATTCTGCCACTGGACAGATTATTGGTGTTCATTTATTTTTTTGAAGATTGTGCCATTGAAGGTTAGAAGTTTCTCCAACCTTGGAAGAATTCCATGGAATGCTCAAGCCTCAATTGAGGATGGGCACTCAAAAGAATCAGAAGTTGAAGTGGAAAAGTTAGGGGAGTACTCTTTCAGGAGCACACCTATTCCTCTGAGGAAGTGGGTCTGGCCCACGAAAGCTCATCATCTAATAAACCATCTTGTTAGTCTTTAAAGTGCTACATAGTCCTGTATTTTGTTTCAGCTACACCAGACTAACACGACTACATTTCTATCACTATTCCTCAATGGTGCTTCAAAATTCATTGCCACAGCATTGTTGTAAATTAGCATATTGCAGTCTTCTAGGGACTCAGAGCAGTTCTGAGCAGAGATGTCTGAAGATGAGAACAGCAGGAGGAGAAGCAACAGCAAGCAATTATGCAAAAAAGTTTATTTCAACAAATTTAGAAATTAAATTTTGGTTAAAAAATGCATAGGTTTCAAACATTTGGTAAGATTACACACGTTAACAAAGATCTTAGCTTAGTACAAAGGAGCAATTACTGCACAGGTAGAGTTTGTGGTACACATTCATTATAGACATTTGGTAGGTAGTCATCTATGAACCCATGCATACTTTATGTATTTAGTTTGCATAGGCTTAACCTCTCCATCTCCCACATTCATCCAATTTTTAGGGATCTCCTGTAACCACAGCACCCTTTCCTAGAAGAGACTATGTACATCATATAAATTGCTGACCCCCCTCAATGGGTCTGCTCTTGCTCTCAAAGTAGTTTTGGTATTACAGTAAAACTCCAATAGTCCGGCATCCTATAGTCCGGCACTCCTGATAGTCCGGCATCAAAATGGCAAGAGCCTAGTGAGTGAGCTTCAGCAAAAAATGAGTCACAAGGTAACAGCGGCAGCAGCTGAACTGAGCAAAAAGGGTAAAAAAGGCTTTAAAAAACTAAAACATTACAGTATACTGTATGCCGTATGTACAATAAAAAGGGTTAAGAACACTTTATATACAGTATATAATGTATACAGTATATATATAACCATCTTATAGTATCTCCTGATAGTCCGGCATATTTGATAATCCGGCACCACCTAGGTCCCATTAGATTATCAGAAGTCTACTGTAGTTTGAATGGAAGGTGGATTGTGCATTTTGACTGCAAGGATCTCAGCAATTCTCAGGATCAGATCCAGATACAGTACATTAACCTAATTTATATAATCACTTCCAACGGATAGCAAAATAAGTTAAAATAGAAAATATCTGCAGAGTTCAAAAAATGGTTGGGAATGTTCAAAATGTAGTCAAGTATCAGAGGGGTAGCCATGTTAGTCTGAATCTGCAAAAGCAGTGAGGAGTCCTGTGGCATCTTATAGACTAACCAAAGTGTCTCTGACGAAGTGGGTCTTTGCCCACAAAAGCTTAAGCTCCAACACTTCGGTTAGTCTGTAAGGTGCCACAGGACTCCTCACTGCTTTTGCAGATTCGAACTAACACGGCTACCCCTCTGATACTTGACTACATTTTGAACATTCCCAACCAAGTATCAGAGGGGTAGCTGTGTTCGTCTGAATCTGCAAAAGCGGTGAGGAATCCTGTGGCACCTTATAGACTAACCGACGTGTTGGAGCATAAGCTTTCGTGGGCAAAGACCTGCTTCGTCAGAGATACTTTGGTTAGTCTACAAGGTGATACAGAACTCCTTGCCGCTTTTTCAAAATGTAGGGATGTTAAAAAAAAAAAAAAAATCAAGTGTCTTAAGAGAGCAGACCCCACAACTCCAAGTTGTAGTCAACTGAACTTGTGGATAATTTGCTTTTTTGAAGATCAGGCTCAATGTGTCTGTTGGATACCTGAAACTATAGTAATCAGGGTGCCATATTAATAAAAGCAACCCATATTTTTATCACATGTAAGCTACCTCATTGTTATAAAGATGTTTCTACATGATATTCAAATTAAACTTGACAGTTTCTTAGACTAGTCAGACATGAACAAGTAACCAACTATAGGATACTTTTGTTGATTACTTTTCTCAGTCCCCAGATGAGATCAGCCTGTTTTTGGTTGATGTCACATGAAAAATATAAGGCAGCTATCCTCTGAAGGCTAGATGCTGAGCCCTTATCCTCTGAAGCAGGAGGATTAGCATTAGAAACAGAATCAGGGTTTGTTGAGACAGACTAGAATACATGTTATCCTACTATAGCAATCAATGTCAGAATTACACTTTTTAAATAAAAGCCACTGTATCTTTTGATAAACAGAAAATGTAACATCAGAAAAAATACACTGCTGTAAAGACAACTGTATGTAATCCTGAGTAATAGTTTTTAAATTTGTAGTTTTGCACTTCTACACTTAAACTGAATTTTACATGACTTACAAAGTGAGCTTTAGAATGAAAAGGAAAGCATGAAAGGAGTAAACCATATTGTTCTATGTCAGGAGATGAGAACTTTTCCCATGTTAAAACAGTTAAAACTTGGTTTAGATTCTAAATCACTTGCAATGTAAACGTGTTACTGTAGGACGCAATAATTAAGTACCTGCAGCACAATATTTCCTTGAGTAGTTTAGATCTTTACATCCCCCTTCTAGGTCCATCCATTAAATACCATACCTGTTGCTCCTTACAGAAGCATGTCCTTAAAGGCATCTTATAAATAAGCTATCGAGTAACTCCCTTACTGGAGTCTGAAGAGCAGACATCTCTTTTCATTATTAATATACGTTTAAATTAAAACAAATGCATTTCAAACCAATTATTTCTATATTATATTTAAAAACAGTACGAGAAAGTACATAATATGAGTTATAATCAGTTTAGTATCCAAGTACCTTTCATGTTTGGGTGCAAATAGAACACAAGGATCAAAATAACATACTGAGAATTATTTGGCAATAAGCATTTTAACAAGATGGGTGGCCACAAAAAGCTAAATTCTGCCCTCCCCATGCAAGTTATGTGCATAAATTTGAGGGAAAAATTTACCCTATGCCATGTAATAATTAATTTGACAAACTTTGGAAGTAGTACAAAAGTTCTGAGGGTCCTTTTAAATTATTCTCTTTTGTTATAGCCATTTCCCCTTTACTTGCTAAAAATATCAAAATCTGCTACTTTAGGAAGATAAACATTTGTTGTATTGATTTTAACAATATTAACATGAAATCTTAAAAAAAGGTAAAGCACTTATGGCATCTAAAGACTTCCAGAAACTAAATAATCTGTGAGATACAGAATCAATTGTGACTACCTTTTAAAAACCAGGTTGTTGGGTTGTTGTTTTTTTTCCTTTATTATCAAATCACATAGGCTATTTCTCCCTATTTGTGATTTAATAGTTTGAGAACATTCTGTATGCTGCCCACAAAGATATTTAAAAGTTTAACAACATTTCCCTTTAAGTGAACAGGCAAGAAAAAAAAGTCACTGAAGATCATTGTGGTAGAAGTGAACGTGATCTTAAAGGCAGAAAAATATTGTCACTTGAACTGGCATTGGCTTCCTGTTGTTCAGACTGAAGTTCTGGTGGAAGAGGAGGTGCTCCAGGATCCCCAGGTCCGGGAAGGGTGGTTGAGAAGACTGTATTTTCTGTGCTTCCTATCTCCACAATTGGTAAATTCATTGAACGAAGAGATGAAGCAGACACAAAAGCAGCTGTACTAAACCGGTCTTCTGGTTGATAATGGATAGATTCTTTGTCTTTTACTTTTTCATATGAATTGGATTCATCAGAATATGACCTAGAAAGATTATTTGTTCCTCCATACACTGAAGTCATACAGCTACTGCAGCTCAAGCCTAAAGAAAACCAGAGTGGATTTTAATACAATTGCACTATGTAGCTAGTCAGCTTCTAACTCAAATTAACTTTAATGACATTTATTAGAATGTTCTAAAAGCTGTTAAAATTTAAGTACTTGTACTCTAGTTTATCAATGTGGATCCCTCATCTTGTAGACCACATCTCCTTTCAGCATCATCTGACATCAGATCATTGCAATGTGAATTTAATACTTGGCAAACATATACGTGTACATTTAGTTTTAAAGTGAAATCAGTTAATCTTCACAAAAATCATTATCTTTATCTTCCTAAACTATTCCCATCTATTTTCTCTGATAGCCCTTCTCCCCCTTCATCCTCACCTATTCACTCCCAGGAATCCTGTCCTCTTTCTTGAAATGTAAAAAAAATCAAACTTTATTTTGGTACAGCACAAAAATTGCAGAAACGGAACCCTTTCTACCTTTTCTTTCATTACTTTAATCAATGGAAGTAATCTGGAGAATTTTATAATTGATTAAGACATTTAAAAATTGAGGACTAATATTAAGGTCCTAAACCTATATTTAACTAAGTAAATTCAAGTGGCAAGATTTTCACAAATGCCAAAATTTCAGTGCAGTTAGCAGAAGCTGCAGGTGCCCAGGTCTTCAGAGAACTAAACTGCTTATATTTGGTGTAGGGATGTCAGTGACTAGCAGGGATGTGAAGGACTAATTGACTAGTGGTTACCTCCCCACCCCCTCCCCGACCTTGCTGCCTCTATCAGAAAGAGGCAGCAGGGAGCTGGGGGATGAAAGAGGAGGGGGTACTTCAAAGCAGCAGCACCATATGGAGCCAGACTCTGGGCTCCATGTGGTGCTGCTGCTTTGAAACACCCCTTGCAGCCCAGGGCCACCTGGTGTGCTCCCAGGCTGCACACGGCATTTCAAAGTGGCAGTGCCATGTGGGATCAGCTGGGGAGTCCCTGGCTGACTCCAAGCTGCATGCAGTGCTGCCGCTTTGAAACACCACATGGAGTCTGACACCAGGCTTCCAGCCGCAGTTCAAAGTGGCAGTGCCACATGGAACCTGGGAAAATGCATCAACTGTTCAATTAGTCAATTACTTGTAATTTAACATCCCATGGCCACATCTACACTGGCCAGTCTTATGCAAGAACACATGCAAAAAAACCCTCTTGCGCAAGAGCCCTTCTGCCTGAAAATAAGCAGCAGAATGGCTCTTGCGCAAAAGGGGGTTTTTGTGCAAGGAGCAAAAACCCCTTATGCAAAAATGGAGGGTCATTAAGTATGCAAATGAAGCGTGGCAATATTTATCTCCATGCCTCATTTGCGTATGTTCTTGCACAAGACTGCCCAGTGTAGACGTAGCCCCCCGTGTGTAGTCGACTGGAGCAGTGTATCTCAACCAGTGGTACCTTAGGGGTACTCGAGAGAAGGCGGGGGGGAGGGGAGAGAAGTACATCAACACAACTGAAGTTTGGAGAAAACTGAATTTGTTTTAAGTTTTATAGCGCTTTATTTATTTTTGTACTTTTTACACCCAAAAATTTCATCAACCGTCTGGCTATGATTAAGTTGTTTAAATAAATGTGTTGCAATGGTAGAAAAAAAACTGTGTGTCTCTGAAAACTGTAGGTATTGGGGGTACTTATCCTTTTTTTTTGAAAAAGGGGTACTTTATACAAAAAGGTTGAGAAACATTGGACTGGAGTATCAACTACTCATTCCCCCTCCCGCCTGCCTCTCATGTGGGAATGGGAAGCAGGAGCCAGTGCTTGGGGGAGCTGGCTTAAAGTCTCTGTGTATCACAATAGATGTTTCCCAATACAAGCTCATTTTATATTAAAACACATAGTAAGTAGGGATTTTAACTGGTAACTGCTTACCCAGTAAGCATCATCCTTACTGAATGATGCTTACAGGGTAAACAGTTAACCCGTGGCCTGGCTGGGCTGGAGCAGTCCCCTTCTCGACATGGGCATGTAGCGCTCCAGCTAGGCAAGGCCCACCACACCCCAACTTGGTCGAGCCCACCACCCGCAGGATCTCAGTTAACCAATCTAAGTTGAATGTTTAACGTTCTGTTTAACTGGTTAACTTTTTATTTGGGAATTTACATCCCTAATAGTAAGTTAAATATGTTTCAGAGAAATCCTTCATGAAACATTATTAAGGTCAATAACTGCAATATAATCTCATTAGGAAGCAGTTTCACAGACTGAGACCAAAACGCAAAAATACTGTGCATCATAACAAATCATAATGTTTGTGATTTATTAAGCATCACTATGCTTAGCATAGTAAAAAAAATAGAATTATAAAAAACTGGAACGAACCTCAAGAGATCATTATGTCCAGTTCCCTGCCCTCACGGCAGGACCAAGCACCATCTAGATAATACCTGATATATGCCTATCTAACCTGCTTTTAAATATCTCCACTGATGGAGATTCCATAACCTCCCTAGGCAATTTATTTCAGTGTTGATCTATCCTGACAGGAAACTTTTCCTGATGTTCAACCTAAACCTCCCTTGCTGCAATTTAAGCCCATTGCTTCTTAGCCTATCATCAGAGGTCAAGGGGAACAATTTCTCTTCCTCCGCCTCACACCCTTTTAGGAATTTCAAAACTGTTATCGTGTCCCCTCTCGGTCTTCTCTTTTCCAAACTAAACAAGCTCCATTCTTTCAGTCTTCCCTCATAGGTACTCCATTTGAAGCCTAATCAGCGCAGAGTGGAAGAATTACTTCTCCTATCTTGCTCACACTGTCCTATTAATGCATCCCAGAATCATGTTTGGGTTTATTTGCAAGTGTCACACTGTTAACTCATTTAGCTTGTGGTCCATTATGACTCTTAGATCCCTTTCTGCAGTACTCCTTCCTAAACAGTCACTTCCCATTCTGTATGTGTGGAAACGGATTGTTCCTTCTTAAGTGGAAGCTATGGTACTTGTCACTAGGAGCTTAAACCCAAGTCTAACATTATTTCTTTATCCTGCAAGAGACTTCTTCAAAGATGGTATCCCTATTACCAAAGGAAATCTGAAAAAATTTACAGTAAAACATGTGTAAGATTTTTTTTTAGTTTATGTACTCTTACAGAGTCCTTTGAGATAAACATCTACTTTGCCATTTAACAATTTAAACATCTCACCTTTGAGAGCTTCGAGTTTTTCATTTTTGACTTTCAACACTACATCAGTTATCCTTTCTAACAGGAAGTTCTGTGTTCTTTCTCGTCTAATAGATTCAATCAAAGTATCTAGTCCCTTTGGATTTTCTGCTAAGTAGTCCAATAACTTCCCAGTTTTCTTCCTATTTGAGGGTCGACAAGATATTTCTTCAGTGTCTTCTCTAGTGAGTATTTTCTTTGAACGCAGGTAATCAAAGTGTCTTTCAGCAATAATTTTGTCACACAAATAGGGACGCATTCTTTCTAAAGCCTAAAACAAAGACAATAGAACATTATTGTCATTAGCTGATTTTAAATGTGGCTTTCATGATATATTGGAAAACATTTTCAAATTTAGATGTCGTCAGGACTGGATTACAAATCAGAAATAAGATCCAGAGGAAATTAAATATATTTTAAATATTAAGTAGTAATGTGTTACATAGCTGTAGTTTAACTGTTCACTACAGTAAGAATTAAGGACAGTCTGCCTTTTATATTATTATTTTTCTTTTGCCTGATTAAGACAGATACTAGAATATTTAAACACTACATATGAAATATTGGTCCAGGATGAGTTGCTGGGAAAATTGCTAAAAATTGTTAACTTCTAGCAACACCATTGTAACTTCAATGATTCATCATTTCAACAGGAAATGGCTGCTTCTGCTGAAGTGGTGCATCTTGCTAAAAGGAGAATTGCTATTAAGAGATTCAGTTCAACATCCTGTTTCAGTCAAAGAAAAAACCGAGTGGAAGAAAGAGGGAGAATACAGACAGTTTGTAAAATTGAGATTAACAAAAAAAGGTAAAAGAACAAGTTGTACATTTTAAATGAAATCAAGAAATGCCAAATTTATGTTTCTGTGCAACCTTGACTCTGCTCACATACATATTTCAATTAACACCTTATTCTCACACAACTTGTGCCTCATTTAGCATACAGGTTGGACAGCTCTCCATGCAAAATCACAACATCCTCCATCCTGTACACAAGGGACCCAGTTCTACTCTGTTAACCCTGAATTTTCACCAGTGTATTTCACTATGTAAGAGTTTATTACAGATTTACCCTGTTACGGTTGCTGAATGACACATGATCTCTGCATAATACAATTATGTCTCTTTTCCTGTGCACTGTCCGACCTGTGTATTGAATGAAGCAGGGATCCTACAGAAACAGTGGGAACATACTGAGCATTAAAGCATTTTTCCAATGCATTGATATACCAGTGGCTGAGCATCTATTTGATTTGCTTAACACGTAAAGAGAAAAAGCAACACAACGATTTATCAAGTTAAGTAAACTTCGTGCACAGTTAGTTCAGGCCGGATAGTTACTACACCCCCAAAAAGTTATTATTCATCTTTCCTTGTGTTAACTAGTCAATTAGTCGCTTACATCCCTAAAGCAGAGCCCACAGCTAGTGGGGCTGCTGGAGCCCACAGGGCTGGAGGGGTCCAATGGGGCCACCAGAGCCCTTGGGGCCACGAAGATGGTGGGGAATCGAAGACGGCAGAGGCTACAGGGCTCCGGGAGCCCAGTGTGATAGCAAAGCCTGTGAGGCTTCCTGAGCCCAGTGGGACAGCACAGCCGGCAGTGCCGCTGGAACACCGTGGCCAAGGAGAGGAGTCCAGAAGAGAGGCTGATGCCCCGCCCCACCCCCACCTCCTCTGGTCCAGCAAACTCCCTTGTCTGGGATCAGTCAGATCCCAAGGGTGCGGGACCAGGGAGGTCTATCTTTCATAATATTTATATTATAATTGATTTTATAATTTTTGGTAAAAATGAGACAGCAATTTAGAGTGCTGTGACACTTTCATATTTTTATGTCTGATTTTGTAACCTAGTAGTGTGAAGTGTAACTTGGGGATATGCAAATCAAACTTCTGAAAGAGATTCAGTAATCTGGAAAAATTGAGATTCACTGATTTGATACAGGCAACTACTGGTAGTCTAAGTTTGCTTAGACCAGTGAGGGGAAACTTCAGCTACTGAGTGGTCCTCTTTCATCTCAATGGGCCACAAGATTATTGTAACCAATATGGTCTCCCAAGATAAGGCAGTTTTGTTAACTGCCCTTGTGTAACTAGAATTTGTGGGGTGTGTGGACTGATCCGTAGTGGTGCTTTGATTGGATATAGAGGGAAAGTATGGCTCTCACCAAGTTGTATGCAATCAGTACACATCTCACTTTATACAATTTGATGGGCCGCCCTTTGGACACATGTTGCCTGCTACTTAGCTTATACAGTTTGACAGATATGACAGTAAAAAAGGTGGTAACCTCCCATGCTTTGTCTGCTCTAGATTAGAGATGTAAAAAGTCATTTAAAAAGGTAATGTAATGTGTAACTGCTAAAAATTAGGGCTGTCAAGTGATTAAAAAACATAATTGCTATTAATCACGCAATTAAAAAAAGGAATTGCAATTAATTGTGTGCGCTGCCCCTTTGAAATGTTGTAGCAGCATTTCAAAGGGGCAGTGCTTCAGAAGCCCAGGATCAGCTAGAGTCGCCATCTGGTCCCCAGCTCTCTTAGCGCTTCCCCTTTGAAACATAGTGGTGGTATTTCAAAGGGGCAGCGTTGCAGGGAGCCCAGGATCAGCTGGAGTCCCCAGCTGACCCCGGCTCCATGCAGCTGCCTCTTTGAAATGCAGCGGCAGCATTTCAAAAGGGCAGCACCGCAAGAGCCCGGGATCAGCTGATCCAGACTCCATGCAGTGCTGGCCCTTTGAAATGCTACCGCTGTGTTTCAAAGGGGCAGCACTGCAGGAGCCCTGGGCTCTGTGCAGCGCTGCCCCTTTGAAGCAGCGCTGCCCCTTTGAAGCAGCGCTGCCCCTTTGAAGCAGCGCTGCCCCTTTGAAGCAGCGCTGCCCCTTTGAAGCAGCGCTGCCCCTTTGAAGCAGCGCTGCCCCTTTGAAGCAGCGCTGCCCCTTTGAAGCAGCGCTGCCCCTTTGAAGCAGCGCTGCCCCTTTGAAGCAGCGCTGCCCCTTTGAAGCAGCGCTGCCCCTTTGAAGCAGCGCTGCCCCTTTGAAGCAGCGCTGCCCCTTTGAAGCAGCGCTGCCCCTTTGAAGCAGCGCTGCCCCTTTGAAGCAGCGCTGCCCCTTTGAAGCAGCGCTGCCCCTTTGAAGCAGCGCTGCCCCTTTGAAGCAGCGCTGCCCCTTTGAAGCAGCGCTGCCCCTTTGAAGCAGCGCTGCCCCTTTGAAGCAGCGCTGCCCCTTTGAAGCAGCGCTGCCCCTTTGAAGCAGCGCTGCCCCTTTGAAGCAGCGCTGCCCCTTTGAAGCAGCGCTGCCCCTTTGAAGCAGCGCTGCCCCTTTGAAGCAGCGCTGCCCCTTTGAAGCAGCGCTGCCCCTTTGAAGCAGCGCTGCCCCTTTGAAGCAGCGCTGCCCCTTTGAAGCAGCGCTGCCCCTTTGAAGCAGCGCTGCCCCTTTGAAGCAGCGCTGCCCCTTTGAAGCAGCGCTGCCCCTTTGAAGCAGCGCTGCCCCTTTGAAGCAGCGCTGCCCCTTTGAAGCAGCGCTGCCCCTTTGAAGCAGCGCTGCCCCTTTGAAGCAGCGCTGCCCCTTTGAAGCAGCGCTGCCCCTTTGAAGCAGCGCTGCCCCTTTGAAGCAGCGCTGCCCCTTTGAAGCAGCGCTGCCCCTTTGAAGCAGCGCTGCCCCTTTGAAGCAGCGCCTCAAAGGGGCAGCACTGTGCCCAGCTGATCCCCAGCTCCGAGTTGCACTGACCCTTTGAAGTGCTGCTCCGGCGCGTCGAAGGAGCAACACTGCACGGAGCCCAGGGTCAGCTGAGGACTCCAGCTGATCCCAGGCTCCAAATGCACAGCCCCTTTGAAACGCCGGAGCAGTACTTCAAAGGGGCAGCACAGCATTAACATCTGCAATGAACGTGTTAAAAAAAATGAATGTGTTAATCCTGCCTTGCGTTAATCGCAGGCATTAACGCACATCAATTGACAGCCCTACTGAAAATCTTAGTAGTTATGCGCATTGTGGCTTAGTTTTATACTGAAGAGCCCACAGTGAAGCCGCCCCAGGAATGGGTCTGCCAGCCCCTGCTGGCCCTGCTCCAAGGGAGCCATAGAATGTAACCTGCAGGGAAGGGTGCATAGACCAAGCAGTCCCTGCTTGTGGTGGGCCCCCGAGGAGAGGGGGGGCTGGAGCATTGCCCTGCCCAGGGCAGGCAGGGAGCTGCTCCAGCCCCTACCAGTTAACTAGCATGGGTAAGCATCACACGTTACGGGTGAGGTCTACTGCTTAAAGCCTTTTTCATCCCTCCTCTAGGTCACCCATTGTTGCTACCACTTGCAAAGCTTCAAATACAGTAAGAAAAAGCCTAACTGACCACAGTATACTTGCATGTAACAATTAGTCACAACTTTATACAAAATGTACTGTTAATATACGGCACAGAGTGAAAAGTTTTATGAGTTAGTGTTTGGAATAGCATTATATACAAAATGAAGCACATCAGTAGACACACTGATCGCTTTAACGCATTTGTTCTTCAAAAAGTATTGTCTAACTTTGTCATCATGCTTGAGATAAGAAAATTGTACCCAATAATGACATTTATCTGATTACCCAAATAAAGAAAGTTATTTTAATAATATTTTTTCCTAACATATTGATAATAGGGATGTTAGCTACTGGATAATTGAATAGTTGAATAACCAAATGAAATCTTAGCCGTTACTCGAATATTCTGTAGTCCCTGGGGGCAGGGCCAGCATTCAGTGCAATTCAGCCCCACTCCCAGGGAGCCTTCTGCTACCTGCACTGCTGCTTCTGTATCAGACTGCTGGGGGAGAGAGGAGGTTGGCTGTGGTGGGCTGGGACAGGGGTTGCTAACCTGAAGAAAGCTGACCATGGACAGAGGCTGCTCTGTGGGATGCAGAGGAGGGGGGTAAGGAGAGGCAGCTGGGAAGCTTTTGGCGGGCAGAGGCTGCTTCGCAGCACCCTCCTCTACATCCTCCCACCCCCTGCTGCCTCTGATAGAAGCAGCAGCCCAGGGAGAAGGGGCAGGTGGCACTACAGAGGGGAAATAAGAGTAGTCAACATCCGTAGTATTGACCATGTTTATAAATTACTATACAGTCCTTTCAAGCAGCATATTTATTTTTGAGGTAAAAGTATTTCAGAGAAACACACTAAAACAATGAAAGATCCTACAGACATGCTAAAAAGCTTAGCAGTGATCACCTTGCTCCCGCCCCAAAAACACGTTAGTAGGTTTTCCTTCAAAACACACAACTGTTTTTTTCCTTGTTGTTACACATTCATCCCTGTTATTCCCTCAACCTGACTCCAAAGAGGGCTGGTCAGATGTTACTTTATATAGCTCAGGCCTTTGATCTTGGCCTTCTGTAATCATCAGACACACTCTTTTCAGGACTTACCATTACCAGAGCTGGGAAATTTGCATTAACCTCTCCCTAGGGATTTTCCAGCATATCCATTTCATACTTCCTGATCCAAAAGTCCAAAGCATCTGGCACATTTTAAATGTAGTCTTTTGAACCCCCAAATCTCTTACCTGTCACATCTCCCCCAAAATGTGAAACTTGAAAGTTCCGAAGCCCAAATGATACAAAAACTTAATACAATGTCATCCAAAGATATAGCAATTTTCTGCAGTATCTATCACACTAAAATTTCTCTATTGAGGTAAAATTAATTGTGCCTTATTAGATATGCTGGCCTTACTGAGAGTCTTAGAGTAAGAGAAAATTTTGGGACTGAGAAAACTGTCTTCCATAGAGCAGTTCACTGCTGTTTCTTTTCAATCTCGGAAAGTTCTTAGTCTCCATGACTCCCTGAGTCAACACAATTCCACAGTTTACTCACACATACTTTTTCATACTATTTCCTCATTGATTTTGAATTCCCCACCTTTTAATTGAATGTTTCCTTGTTCTTATGTTTTGAGACCAGGAGACTGGAAGCTTACCATCATTTAATTTAAATATTTTTATCATGTATCCTCTTATTCACCTCCCCTCTAAAATCAACTATTACAATCTTTTCATTTCTTTTCACTAATTAATCTTTAAAAAAAATCACTATGATCTGGGACATCAAATACTAAAATACCACAGGTGTTTTGGTACAGGATAAAGTTCAAGATGTTTGGGTGCCCTAACTGTACATCTTCATATCTTAACATTTATATTTCATTTCAGAATTTCCTGGTTGAACATGTTTTCAGGATAATTTCAATATCCCTGTAACGTATTTTACTCTAAATTATTAAGTACTCTATAACTTCATTTTTAATAGTTTATGTTTGGGAAGAAGTTAATATTTGAGCTAAGTATGATTTCCCTAATATTACAACAAATGCATGAGAGAATATCAATACATAATCTTATAACATGAGAACTGCCATTCTGGTGAGATCAGCGGTACACCCAGTCAAATAGCCTGTCTTCAGACAACAGCCAGTGCTAGATGCTTATTTGTTAAACAGATATTTGTTAGACTGACTCATCCAGATGGATCCTAAACCACAAAACTATACTAATTCATAAGAACAGCCATACTGGGTCAGACCAATCTGGCCCACTATCTTGTCTGCCAACATTGGCCAATACCAGATGTTCCAGAAGGGGGCATACAACAGCTAATCCTCATGTGATCCCTCCCCAGTCACCCACCACTGGAGAAACAGAGGCTAGGGACACCATTCCTACCCATCTTAGTTAATAGCCACTGATGGACCTAATCTCCATGAGCATTCAGTTTTCACATTCAAATGTAGCTATCACCAGTGTAACATGGCAATAAATGTTTAGCAATTAAGAACATAAGAAAAACAAATACCAGAGGAAAATGTAGGTAAGTAAACTGTCATTTGGCAAAGAGACCAAAATTAACATTCCTACTTCTAGGCCAATGGTCTCCAACCTTTTTACACCCAAGATCACTTTCTAAATGACAGTACAAGCCAAGATCTACTGCCCCGCCCTCTCTATTCTCCTCCTCTCCATCACTTGCTATCCCCAACCCTTATACTGCCGCTTCTCCCCCCCCCCCAATCCTTCTATAAGAAGAGGTTTTTCCAACATTTGGCCTGCCTGGACTGCACCAAATATCAGAAAAAACCCTTCTTTTGGAAGCCCCCTTATTCCTCATGGAAAGAGGAATATAGGGGTGACCGAAAGATCATGTTTTCTCTTCCACTAAAAGAAGCAGAAGAACAAATGCATCCCTGGATGCAGAAGTGTTTTTCTGGGATATCTCCGGAATCCTGAAAAACTCCTGCAGTCTAGCCGTAACCTCACTGGGTTGAGAAAGGATATGTAGGCTCTAAGGGTGGGAATGAGTGATTTGGGTATGGGAAAGGGCGAGAGCTGCAAGCTCTGGGAGGAAATCTGGATGCAGGAGAAAGTGGATAAGTGGATGCTGGCTCATGAAGGGGCACCAGGCCGGGCAGTGTTAGGGTCAGATGTAGGGTTAGGGTACTAAGCAAGCCACAGACTTCTGGATGTGAGGGTTCAGGAATTTGGGTTGGGGTATGTGAGGGACTCAGGGCAGGGGGTTCCAGTGTATGATAGGTTCAGATGTAGGGTCTGGGGGAAAGAGGAGTGCAGGAGTGTTATGATGCTGTGGCCAGATGGGGGCTTGGCCCCAATTTGGGGTTTGTTGGCCAGGCTTCATTTTTAAATAAAATACTATGTCAAACAAAAAGTTTCTGCATTGTCTTTATTTCTGAGAAGGGCAGGGAACCTGTTTAGAGTCAGGGGTCACTGACCCAAGAAAAGTCAGTTGGGGCCACACAAGTGAAATGCAAAAAAACCCTCCTCCAACCCCAGCCTTCACCCCCAGCCTCACTAATGTGGCCCCAACTGTGTTGGTGGGATCAGGGGACATAGTACTGGGGAAGGGTGCTAGTGGTTGCTTTGGCAGGCGACAGGGTGGCAGTGGGGACAGAGTTCTGTGGCTCAGGACAGGGGAGTGGGGACAGGGTTCTGGAAGTGGGGACGGAAGTGGGGACAGAGTTCTGTGGCAGGAGAGTGGGAACTGGGAGTGGGGGAAGGGTGCCAGTGGAGGCAGAGTCTCCCCTGCATCTGCCTCCTCCGGGCCCAACTCCCAGGATTCCCCCCTCCTGCTGTGCCTGCCCCAGGGCCGAAACCCCTGCACGCCTGCCCCCCCGGGCAGAAGGAAACCCTGCGCATGCCTGCCCTGGGGTGGAAACACTCCACTCTCTCCGCGGTGCAGGGAAATCCTGTGCGTGCCTGCCCCAGGGCCAACTCACCCCTCCTGTGCCAGTGCAGGGAAGTCACCATGCTCCTCCTCTGGAGCCAATGCCCCCTCCCACATTGCGTCCAGCAGAGCATCCAGCACACTTCCTGAACCCCTGGAAGTGGCACTAAGCTGCGTGACTTCCGTCCACCTGCAGGAAGCCAGCACTACCTCCATTTTTGCTCAAGGTAGGTAGTGGGGCTTCTCGGGGGTGGGAGAAAATGGGGGGAGGGGAGCTGGACGCCTCGCAATCGACTGGTCGAGGCCTTGCGATCAACCAGTTGATCACGATTAACCTGTTGATGACCACGGTTCTAGGCAATTCTACTCATCACAAGCAGTCTATAGCTCATTTTACAACTCATCTAAAAGAGCACTTGCCCAGCCCCATCATCAAAGAGGGATACTGGTTCATTACTGACTCAGAATAATGTATTTACTGACTCATCTTACTCTCTGCTGTGTCTATGTTTCTCTTCAGGTCTCTGATCCAAACACTGACCTGGCCCAACTCTGCTTAGTTTCTGAAGCCCAGCAAGACCGAAGTGTCATTTTTCTTTTTTGCAAAAACAAAGAAGTTGTGAAATTATCATAGTCTTTCAGATGTATTTGCTATTGAGACAGTATTACATTCAAATCACAATATTGAAGATTAAGGGGGAGGGTAGATTTTTAAATAACCAGATGTTATTAAAATAACTAGATGTGGCTCTTTAACGGCAAGAAAGAACATGAAAAACTAGCTGAAGTGTTTTGTCATGACTTGAAGTAAATTACATAAGCAGAGAAAACTACTGAATTAGGAAACCAAAGTCAAACAGACATGATTCACTGAAATGAACAAAAAGTATCTAATGATGGAAGTGGGACAACTGAAGTAACTATTGAACCAAGTCAATCCAGTAAGTAAGAGAAATTCAATAAAACAAATTACAACAAGGTGCAACACCACCAATGTGCAGAACAGATGTTAGAAATCACTGTGTAAAAACAAAAATAAATTAGTGGGCAAGACCTCAATCACAAGTTACATCTAGATTTGTCAAAAAACCATTATGAACCAGTAACTTGAGTGTCCAAGCTTACTTCATTACTTCATAAAGCAACTCAGTCCAGAGGCTATTTTTGCAGCATCGCCTACAATTAGATTATATTTAACCTAACCTACTCAGTTTCACTCAGTACAGATTTACAGAAGTGTATTTTTCATTCCGGAAAACTATCATCTTTTTTGCTTGGGACCTGTTCTAAATAAATAATTTTCTGAGCTTCACACAAAATTTCTCCTCTTCCTTTTAAAGTTTATGGACAAATCTTAATCTTAATAGGCTTGTTTCCTCTCTCAACAGACCTCAAGTTGACACACCGAAACCGTTTAAAAACCCAGGCACGAGTAGGCCTGCATTTGGCTCCACATTATACAGTTTACACATAATTTCATTCTCATTATCAAAAGTTTCTTGGACGATCATTATCTAAAGCCATGGAGCCCGCCTACAAATAGCCCCAGCCTGGCTGGACTCACATCCTTTCTACAAAAAACAGGACTATGTAGCACTTGAGAGACTAACAAGATGGTTTAATAGGTGATGAGCTTTCGTGGGCCAGACCCACTTCCTCAGATCAAATAGGAAGTGGGTCTGGCCCACGAAAGCTCATCACCTATTAAACCATCTTGTTAGTCTCTCAAGTGCTACACGGTCCTGTTTGTTTCAGCTGCACCAGACTAACACGGCTGCATCTCTACCACTACCCTTTCTACAGTGCGTGAAGTAAGAACAGAGCTGCCCGCTGACAAGAAGCCCCTCAGCCTGGGGGAAGGAGCGCTCGCAGGCGCGGTCTGCCCCAGAGCCCGTGGCCAGGCAAAGGGCGGGGGTCGGCGGCTCTCCAGCCGGATGCGGACCTGTTTGTTTCAGCTGCACCAGACTAACACGGCTGCATCTCTACCACTACCCTTTCTACAGTGCGTGAAGTAAGAACAGAGCTGCCCGCTGACAAGAAGCCCCTCAGCCTGGGGGAAGGAGCGCTCGCAGGCGCGGTCTGCCCCAGAGCCCGTGGCCAGGCAAAGGGCGGGGGTCGGCGGCTCTCCAGCCGGATGCGGACCGCAGGGATGTGACGTTTCCCGGGGTGCTCACTGAGGCCCGCGAGCCGGGGCCGGGATTTCCA